TGTGTGTGTGTGTGTGTGTGTGTGTGTGTGTGTGTGTGTGTGTGTGTGTGGTGACAGGAAGTTGAAAATCTAATACGTTGTAATTTGTTTTAGGAATATATTAGAGAGATTTGATTGAAGACATAACTCACAGTCAGTGTGGGCCGCTAATTGTAGACCACTTCCCGGTAGTTTTCATGCCGTCCACCCAAGGCACAGCTTCTCCGGTTTTCTTCATCCGGTCGGTTGCCAACTAGCCTTGGTTGGAACTGCCCTTAAAAATTACCGGTCTCCATAAAACGGTTAATCACTACCCGAAATATGTCTTGCTGGGTGAAATTTCAGGCAAAGGTTTCCTTTTCAATCCCAAATCCTGTTATTTACTTCCTTCACTTCTACGTTCCCTCAGCAAAAGGTGTTTTCTTTTCACTTCTGGTTTCAATTAGGCTATCATAGGTTGTGCCATCAACACCAAAAGATGTATCCTTCTCACTCATCCCTACGAAAATGCACAAGAGTTCTGCACCTTCGACTGTGCCTTTACGGAACACTGTGTAGCACTCTCCCTTGTCTCTAACTTAAGGGGCTTACTTGGAAGTGAGTCTTACACTACCCTTTGAACATGGTCCATCCACGTTGGAATCGCTTTCTATCAGAAGCAGAGCCTAGAAATACAGGACCTTTACCTGAATGTAATTTATCCAGTTTTTTTCTCCGTTTTTTTTCTAAATCATTCTTTTTTTTACTAAATTGTCTCCCTCTATCTTCGCACAAATAATCTTGGGTTGACTAATGTGGCTTAATTTGACCTACATGGTTGCCACGCCATTCCAAATCCTATCACATCATAGGCATGTCGAAGGTAGATTTATTAGTACATAAAGGCCATCTTTCTCATCTTTCTAGCTCAAATGGAATCGTGAGATTTTCGCACAATCATTTAAGCTAATTTTGGGACTGATCTGATGATTGTGTGCACTCTTTCATTTCGCAATTCCGGACTTTAGGCATTTGGAGACTACTTGGCGTTGTCTTGGCGCAATTTTCAAACAAAATCTATTACCAAGACAGCACGCATCGTCAAGTAGAATCGTTCTTTATTTCTCTCGTTTACTTGGCTTGTTACGTACGAGGTAACCTCCTTTTCCTTTTGACCAGTTTGCTTCTATCTCGTGTCCCCATGCCCCCCCCCCCCCCCCCAAGTTCTTGAGGTAATTTCCAACACTCATAACAATGTTTAATTCGAATTTGGTATCAAGATGGTGTCCTTTAAATTTACTTTTAGTCTAGACACATTACAAATGTTTCCACTTGTTTTATGTTCTTTTTCTGGTTCCTTGCAAGCCTAGAATCCTCATATCCATGAATACCAACACTGATCAAAAATTTTACCCAGCCAAAGGAATCTAATTAATGGTTTCCAAGACTGTTTTTTATTACTTAATGGCATTACTAATCAGGAGGCCTTACAAAAATGTATTCCTCCCCAACTCAGTCTGCGCCTTCATATTCACAGTTAGTCTCACTGACCTCGGAGTGAAGCTAACCATATTTTTTCATCAAAAAAAGGGCATGAAATACGATGGCTTACATTAACCTACCTTTTTAAAATTCTCTCCTTTTTTTACCAGTGTCCCTTTTAGCCTTACACAAGAATTCACCGCCTTTATTCTTGGATTGCCTTCTTTGCAAAGGCTTTTTTACCGACTAAAGGATGAAAAAAGAATTCTGCTGCCTCGTTCCAACTGTTCGTTGTTCCAGGAGCTAACAGCAATTTTATTAAACCCAAAATAGGTCGCTATGCGATTCGTATAACAAAACAAATTATCAAAGTTTTTCTTTCGTATTTCTGTTGAAGAAATCGCGGCGACATTCTTGAAGGTGTTCACAATCTCTCATCCCATAGTTCACCTTTTATGTTAAGGGAAGGCCAAATGAAGTGGCCAAATGATTGCAACATTTCATTTCTCCAGTTAAACCTCCCAGAATTAACAGATCCTAGTAATCTGCTGTGGGGTTTCGCGTGTAATGCCCAAGTGTGCATTAGGTATCCCATTTCCCAGCCAAGTAGCTAATCCTTCTCACTTTTTTAAAATGTCTGCACATTTGCCTTCTGCGATGCCTCTGGACTCACTGTCTTGTTATTAAAGGCCCATTTAATCTAAGCTTTTCTTAATTTACATTTGAAATACCTGGGTTTTTATGCACCTCTTGACCACTTTTACGTTTTAGTTCATTGTTAATCATCTAGTATTAATGACGGAATATAAATGTTTGATTGGAATGACATTACTTGATTCATGAAACCACAGCCAACTATTTTTTCGTTGTGATGCTGTTGACCATGTGAGCTTGTGTGACCGAAGTAGAAGAAGTTGATGTAAACTTCCAGTCCCCCGCGACCGTGTTAACATTCGCATTGATAAGTGAACATGTGAAAGCGGTTTTTTTGGCTTGTCGAGAAATTTAAGTGATTTCATGAGCTTTTTAAGTGAAAAAGTAAAGCATTTCCACGGTCTTACTTCGATGTAAATCGTCGTTGTGAAGTGGTTTAGGCCTTATCAGACCCACACCGCTGCACTGCCACCTCTACAATTGTGGCGCTGCGAGACTTCCCTGAAGACGAACGACGGCATACTACTCGGATAGAACATATATTCAACGCACAGTTGGGCTTTGTGCCACAGGCATGGCTCAGAGACCAGCTAATAGTGGAGCACCTAGGTGACCTTTTTTTTCAAAATCGAGAGTTAAACAAACGCCTCTGTAGCCCCTCTCCTCTTTTGAGCGTCGTCTACGGCGCGCCCCCTGGTCAACCTCCCGCGTCAGCCATAACAGCGTATTCGGTGCTGTAATAAAAACACCCACGAGCCAAACGCGCTGGACATCGAATTTTCATGCAACAGAGGAGATACTTGACCGCAATGTCACTGATCTTTTCTTTTCGAAATTCTACTGGATATGGAGTTGTGTCCTGTATGGGAACCGGATTTGGGAAGGAGTCCTAAAGGCCGAGTTTTATAACAAAGGACAGAGTTTAACATAGTTTTGTGGGGACAGGATTCTGCGTCGATTCCTTCTTACCACGTTATTTGCACTTCTGAGCTGCCTAACAACGTGTCTGGATTTCATCCAGCTGGTGAAGAATTGAAGGGGGTATCGCAAGTTTACATAATTGTTACCTTCATGCAGGCACAGTAGACAGCTCTGTAACGAACTTTTCCCGATGGTTCGCGCCAGGTGTTAATAGCTTTTCGGCAGACCATGGGCCTGGGGTAGTTACCGAAGTTAGATGTCATTTTTAGCCCTTCTGCCAGGAGTCATCACCGATTCCGCCATCCGCATTATATGGTCTTCTTCTACCACGCTGGGATTTATCATCCAGCAGTAGAAATCCCGGTGGATGCCCCTTAAGATCGGGCTTGCGATTCGCTGCCGCTACTGCAGCCCTCCGAGACTTTCCTATGGACGAAAGGAGACGCAATATACTTGGACAGACTATGCATTGTCAGCGTACAGAAGGACTTGGGGCTAATGACATGGCTTGGAGGTCAGCCCATCCGGCAAGGGTACAATGGCTCAGTTTCTCAAACTCAAGGGTCAAATGAACAGCTAACGCATTACACAACATCTAAATCACTTCTGGAGCCACCATAAGGGACGAGTATAGGATTAACCTCATTGGGATGATGTACGAAGCCTGGATGACTAGAGGTCTACCCAATATCATGCATAATTAAAAGTAATTAGTTATATAATGATAACTCGTTGTACCACCTGAAGTTCATCATTAGCGTAAAGACGGGTCGGAGGGGATTATGATCATGACTGAGACGCCATGACTCTATTACGTCGTTAAAGAGGATTGTTTTTCAAGATCTATGGGTCTATCGACTAACGCCTTGCTGTAGAACAGGGCGATCAACAGTCAGAAGCGCAAATGGTGGTAAATTAGGTTTCCTATGGAATGGCTGGGAATTCGGAATTAATACTTCGCTAAATTGTCATCCTTCTCATTATTTCTTTTTTCATCTCTTTCGAATAGCAGGATCGCGGTGGAGTGACAGCAGCCTTTGAGAAGGACGATTTTGAGGCTCCTAACGTGCAAATCAACTTCGCTCAACACGACCTCGCTTGTAAACAGCGTGCCCTGGAACACCTGGAGCAGCGTTGTCTCGAGGCGGTCGCTGTGGAGGAGCGTCGACGCTTCGCTGAACTCTCCACTTGTCTCAATCCTCTCCTAGTAATTTTGCACTACTTAAACGCCCTGCTTTAGTATCTTAAACCCATCCACTACCTGATAAGTCCACTCTTTCTCGAAGTAGCCGGTAACAACTGCTTTCCCTTGAGCTCCCAGTACTTAACTTCCTAATTCAGTAGTGTATTTACTCGTGGATATGTTTACCGAAACGCCTTAAATTTATTTACTCGGTTTTAATCTACCTAATCTTGCCATCTGTTACTCATGTAATCGGAAACCGCTTGAGGATTTGTAGCTCCTTCTCACTTTTCTTCTACTGGTTAACAGCTACTTAAATAACTAATTCAGCAGTCGTTTGGCTCTCAATAGCCGATCGTGTAAAAGTAAAACGAGGTGACTGGTTTCCAAGTTTTATACGAGGGTGCTGTAAATTACTCCCATTCTCTGAAAGCCACATCCCTGATTGACACAGTCTGTCTTTTGTAAAGTTCTTATAAAACTAAATAATTCCTGAAATGTGGTTGACGCTAGACATCAGTAAAGCAGGAAGATCTCAACGAGGCCTTATCAGGAGGATGAATTGTAATTTGGCAGTCCTGGTGAACCAGTTCTGTCAATTCGCCATCCTTTCCCGCTTCCCCTTTTACTTCCGGAGCACTAATTGAGATGCAACTCCACTTGGCTTGAATTGACAACCGATGGATATTTGGGGAATGTTTCTTTCAATCTCCTGTTCATTTTTTTTAACCAATCTTCTTTTGTAGCTGGATAAACTGGGCATTTCAAACCACATGATGCACAGACGTCGTCCTTAGTTGTCAATGCCGATTGGAAAAGGCCTGATTTTGATGGTGGAGGCGCATTTCCAATTAGCTTCATCTGTGTCACTTCTGCTAGAAGAATTTCTTGAAAAAATCTACTTTGAAATTTAAAAGGCTTCTATTGTGAGTGCGTTTCTTGTGTCTGTAGCAAAGCCGGTCATACTTTAAGGAGGTGAACTAGTCCTCACTCAAATAGACTGCTTTCCGCTTTACGTAATATTTTCTAGATTGGCAAATTATATCCACCGATCTCTTCTTAAACACTCGCCTAAGGAGGAGTCTGTTCCACTCGCTAGACATTGCCAAACTCTCAACTACGGTGAAAATCAGGATGATTGCACGGTTTGCTTGATCCTCCTGTTTTGCTCTAGATCACAAATGCCACATCTTGTCATGGTACTTCTGAGGGTCTTTTACTCATTAAGGATATGTTCTGTTTAAAGCTTTGATGCTCGAACTTAAAACATAATCTGTAATTTTTCATGGACAAAGAATAGTCTGCGCCTCTTCTCTTTTTACATCTTATTGCAACACGATTCGGCTGGACCGGTACCAAGAGGGCCCTAATTGTGTGGGTGATCGCGGCGGCAAATTGAGGTTTGAGTCTGATGGACTTGAAATTTGTCTTCACTCAATACATTTGGCCCATTTATAAGGAAGTCGTTGTTGGTGCTTTGGAATGTAAAAGCTTCACTTTGAAAATTAACTCCACTGTTGAAGATTCATTCTCGCCCAACTCAGTTGATGCCGCAATGCTTGTCTCATTTCATTGCCTACTCTTCACCGATAAGGTGTAAATTTGAGACGATTTTGGAGAGTATCTTTACTTAAGTAGCATAGTAATGTTTAGAAGTTGCATGCAAAACTTAGATGCCATTTTCTACTACTATTGATCAAAAGTTGTAATTTTGGACCTCGTTTTCAAGTCCAATCTACTTAAGTTCTCATTTCAGTAGTATAGTTAGGTTTATGTGCCCCATGAGGAATATGTTATTTGAATCATGCTAAAATTCTAGTGCCTGTTTTGGTGAGAAAAGTGGTATGGAAAATCGCGTTTAATATGTGGGGAAAGTAGTTCCTTGTGGTCAGGTATGCTCTATGTGGTTTCTGTACAAATCGTCTGGTTGAAACTGCCAATTTCCCAGAAGTGGCTTACGCTTTGTTTTCCTCAGAAATTGTCTTGCAGAAATGGAAAAAGCACTGCGCTTGTTCATTATCAAGTCGAATCTGACACTTGGGAATGTTGCAATTTGAGCGAAATGTTCTCTCAGGCCCTGCAAAAGTAGCGTAACCTCCTGGCTGGCATTAAGTGTCTGCAATTTTAGTGCTAAAACGAGTAACAAATGATTGAAGTGACCTTTCCCAGTACAAAGCAGTCGTTTTGGTCCTTTTTTATTAAAAAATTAAAGATTCATTTTCATGGTTGTTATTATTTGCCGAAGTTTTCCATCCTTTGCGCAGCAGTTTTTTCAAGCATTCATCCCATTTTATCCTGCAATTTATGGGATGAATGTAGCTTTTGCCTGGTTGCGGGTCGAGATGAACTATTGCTTGGCCTTTTCACAATACTTGAGGTCTGCATCCAATCGTCCATTCATTCATTAAAGAAATGAAGAGGTTGCTTCTGCCCATGTCAATGTTGTAAGGGACTGACAGGTGTGGATTGAGACGCGTGATAATTTAAGACTCCTTTTGTTTAAGTTATTCGTTATATCTCCCATTTCTTGTTTCCTGCTTCAACCAACTCATTATTTCGCTCAAGTAGTGGACTTCCAGAGGCGTTCTTTGCATGATCACTGTTGCATGACTCCGGGTATCAGTAGCGGTAGGTAAACTACCGATTCCTGGTGTTCCTATTTCACTTTTCTCCACCCGATTACCCTTGGTTGTCAGCAGGTTCACTCAAATCTTCCTTCTATTTGCGAACCAAAATGTTTAATTTCCCGATTTGGCTCACAACAGTCTCTGTTGCGCATCTATGAAATGCCTTGGCACCAAATACTCCCGTATGCAAGTTGAAATAAGTCCCCAGTTCCCATTTTTGTCGGCATTCGATTGCATCTGGTAGGTGGACGAAAATGCGGCACTTTGCTTTCAGTTAGCGTGAAGGAGGAACTTGTAATAAAACGCGCGGCTTTACGTTTTCTTATTTGCGCTATCCGCTACATTGCCGATCCTCTGTTCACTCTCCTGCTGTTAACAATAGCCCCGCTGGATGTTATTACTCAATGGTGAAAGAACTCGCATTTATCTACTAAAATTTTCTCTCCTTCCGGTTGGCTCTCGTTGTGTGCATTCATTCTAGACGGATTGCATCCTCTCATTTCTCCCGAGGTTACCCACTCTTTTCTATTCACTTTTTCTAACTTCGCAGTTTATTCCATTCCCACCAGCACTGGATGTTATTCAATGGGAATTAATACTTCCTACACGAAAATCACACTTCCATGCAACCCATTCGTACTGTTCCCCGCGAGCTTTTGTAACCATTCTCCTGGCCGTCCTCTCCAATCCCTTTGTTTTCACTGCTCCTTCCGCCTCGTTTTACAGCCGAATTACTACACATCATGGCCTTTCCTAATGCAACCTGACCTTTCCATAATGCGTGTGTGCACGCACGCGCCTGCACCTTCCACCAACTACAACTCCGACTTTTTTCTGTCTTAGGGCTCAGTCAGCTCCGTTGGCTGCTTTGCCAGTTGGAATGATCATTGGTGAAACCATCTTTTTGCCTGTTGATGGTTATCGAATTCCCATGTTGTGGAAGAGGGGAGCTGTTCACCTAAATTGGCCCTCTCTCTTCACGGTTGGTCGCTGCATCTGTGCTTAAATGTTCTTTTCCTCTCCTAGTGGTTACATCTTGAGTTGGGTCTAGTGCACTTCTAATAAACTAGCCAGCGGTCCGTTGAAGTGTGGGGAAAAGCTGCGGCCTCTTTTTGCTTAGTTTCCAGGCGTTAGTTAAACCCATTACTCCATTCCACCGATGAATGCATAGTTGATTCTGGCACCTTCGGGTTCGAAATGAAGAAAACGGCTGTTTTTGAGATCTCCTATACAGACTGGGAAGTTGCCTTTCTGTTTGGCTCTTTCGTATTGACAAACGAATAGGCTTTAAACCCATCCAGGTAAAGGAAGAAGGCCCGGTTTCAGTGCTTTATTCATGAGAATTTATCCTATCAAAATGCCGTTCAAATTAGTGATTATCTCTTTTATTTAAAATGAATAAGTCTGACGTGTGGTGTTTCTTGCAATGAAAAGTGAATAACTGTAGAAAGCTGCGTAAAAGGTTTTTTTGTTATAAAAATCTCTACTGAAAGCTATCCTGCTTACCTAACGAAGGCTTACCCATAGCCACCGTTGTTTGTACCTCACCTTTATTTCACACATGCTTATCAAATGCCAAAAAGTGTGCTAATCATCACATGGAGAGATGTGAGTCGAGGAAATACGGACAGTGGGGTAGTATGCCCGCACCTCTTTCCTGCCCCTACCTGAAATGCAAATTGTAAAGACGAGTTGCGTCGTATGAAGTCTTGCGTTGTCTTGTGGGAGTAGGAAAAGAACCCTGTCCCGACTGTTTGACCATTTATGGCAGTTTCTAGGCTGTATCGAGTAGAAAGATCGCAGCTGCAACTGTTATTTGGTCTTCAGCAAGTGAACGGTGGACCATCTTGTCTTCAGTGCGTCACACTAACTCAAAACATCCACAACCGCCTGGGGATAAAGTGATGCGTGCCCCAGTAGTGTGGGGTGGATGGCGAGTGGATCGTTCGTCCGTTTACCGAAATTATCATCCGGAGATTAAGTAAAACCTTTCCACTAGCTTTTTAAGTCCTTAATCGTGTTTAATGCCTAGTTTACGACTAGATTTTGATTTTCTTTGGTGGCTTTTCTGTTATAAATCGTTACGACTCTCAGGCCTACTCGTTGTGCAAGACACTTCAACGGGATGTGCCACGGATTTGTCAACCCGAAAACGAGATGTTGGTGTTAAAAAGCTGTAAATACACCGTAACAACTGTTTATTACATCTTTCTATTTGATCTACAGCAGAAGGGTCATGTCAATCCTTCTCCATCCTTCAGCCGTAGTTCTTGTGGATTGATTTGCTTCAATGCTAGTAGTTTCTTCTCAGCTCCCTCGAATCGTCTCTGGTCGCGCTGTCTATGCATAAATAGAGGCGTTAAAAATACTCTCCTTGGCCAATTGTCTGCATCTTCTCTTCTTCCCGTCAATAAATGTTGTTTTTCTTCGTTCCCTTGAACTGGCCAATCCATTGACTCTATTCTCACCTACTTTGTAACGGGATCAACTCTCTCCTCATTTCTACCGACTTTGCAATGTCTCTGCTCTTTCAACAAATTCCCACAAGCTTATTGTAAATGTTTTAAATTTTGTAGCAACTTTATAGCGGAATTTTTCGCTTCATTCTAAGCCTTCCGTGTCAGAATGTAGGGAACCTCATTTAGTTGTTACTCGAGTTGAGTGGCCACCGCTCATTGGCTCGGTAATTGAATAGCCCTCCATGGACGGCCTTCCACATTGCATGAATTCCATAATTCCCGACAAATGAGTGTCTTGCAGTACAAATTGCTTTGGCGATCTTGTTTTTAAGCCCTAAACTCATTTTAGAATTCTTCTTTGTCTTTTCAACGTTCCAATTTGTCGTTTTTTGATAAACACATCCTTCTCTCTCAAGAGGTTGAAAATTTTTTGTTTGCGAGTTGCCAAATCCGAACAAAGTACCTTCATGTAAATGTCTTCTTTCCATGGAGCGGTGAATGAATCCACCTCTATGAGAGCTCCTTCAAATGGAAT